ACAGCTGATGAAAGCTGATCATAGACTGATTCTTTTGAGAGAATTAACCCTCGTGTAATTATGCAGGAGCACCAGAACTGCAGTATTCCAGAACTGCACCTTTACTGGATTGAGAAATTTCTTCCATAATAAAAAGTATCAGTTTAAATTACTGATTTTCTATCGGGGGCTAGGTTGAGGCTGTCCGTGGAGCTCCAAAAGGATCCTTAATTGGTCCGTAAATTTCTCCAGAATTCATAAACGACCTAACAGGTATCTTGAAAGAAACGAAGTTATGCTGATCCTAGCCTACGGGATAACGCCAGCCACGGAACGACGCGTTACAGTTTCTGGACNGACATTTATGGTGAGTCAACCTTCCCGAATGGCGCCAACTAAACACCCACATGTTTCAGTCTCGGGACAATGAACCACAGACCGATCGCACTGACCAATCAGCAGTCGTGCGTTACAGACGTCAGACGTCAAGATTACAAGGATCTGGGAGTTATGGTTTGAAATGATGATCTACACATTGCTTTAGAGCGTCATTAAAGGCCATGAAGCAAGTTGGATTATTAAAGTATGCTACTGGATTATTCGTACCCCATCCATCTGAATGCCACCGAATAAGTAGAGAAATAATCCTCGTATATCAAGTACTACATCAATCTAACCACCCGTTTATTACCCTAATAACACCATCCAGAAAAAGTCAATGCGCGGGACATATGTTTCCAGTTTTTCTTCAAAATAGTCAGCTAGACAGCAGACATCACGCTTTCGGCCTCAGAGTATGTAATAACTGAAACTCTGTTTCACTGCAAGTTGGTTTTGCCTCAACCATCGATTCATCCAAGTCACGACTGGATGCATCATTGGACTACACCTAACTGCTCAGCACTCCTGATTAACTGTTATAATTTGCTTTTTAATGGTACTACTAATTGAACCCAGTGTGTGCATCAGTTTTGTAATTTGCCCATAATAAAAATTTGGATTTGCTCTGGTGTACATGTGAACAACATGGCTGGTTAATTCGCATGAAAACGCACATTACCATGAAATGTTGGAATGATATATTGCTGTGTTCACCAGGCTAAAGATGTTCTCTTCGCAGGCATTTCGTAGCCAGGCTAGGCACCATCATCAGTGCAACTTCGGGAGCGAGGGGAAGCTTCGAATTTGAATGCATCTGTTTCAAAGAGCTTACACGCACATACATCTCATGATAAGTTAGGAGCTGTTTGAGCGAATTACGTGATCCACTGTCATCTGACTTCTTCCATGCGCACAAACACCATCCATTATCATCCCGATCTGTGAGCACCGAACGCAGAACACAGCGAAGGGCGAGCACATCTGTTCAACAAATCCCAATCATGTCGCTACCATTTACATGCGAAGATAACACCTAGGAGTTGGCGAGAATAACGTGAAGATAACATGTGGAATGGATCACTGTGTATGCTTTAGGGTTGCCTCTCACATGATCTGTTTCAGGCGGTAGTTTTTTTCGCTTATGTCCCGTTGATCATGTTAACTTTTCCTGATGAATTTCTATTATTCTGTGGATATATATGCAGATCATGACCAAACGCGTTCAACACCCTGACTTTCATCACATTTATTTCTCCCAACGGTTCGAGTCTCATTCACAGGATGGAATCTGATGTTTTCTCACACCAAACGCAACATATCTGATACAATATCTTACATATATATGTCTCTTATATATCTTATATCTTTCCTTCTTTTAACGAAAGGCCACCAAACTATACTATTTCTCCATTTTGACGATGGTTGCTTGATTTAATGTGATCGAGCTTTTCCCTCTTCATTTATGTCCTGGTGGAGAAATTCCGTTGTTTGTGCAATAAATTGGGTTTATATCCTAACCATAGCACTTGCGCAAGTCAAGAACTGAGTCATCGGATTTATGGGCCTCTCGGATAAAGTGTTTTCCGGCTTCAACTAAATCCTGAAAACTCTTGGATATTTCATTCGGTTTGGGTATGATGACCTTACAATACGCATATTCAACGAACAGCACACCTCAAGTTCAACCTTCGAACGTTAACCTTTATATTTCTTTGATTATATTATCAGTTCTTTCAGTATTAGGGATAATGCGTGAGTAGTTTGTAGCCAAATAATTTATTAACTTAGTAAAACTAGAACACTTTGATTAATTTGTTTATTTACCATGAACTGAATCAAGATAAATAAGCATTTGGAATAAGTGTGCTCAGCCTAATAATCATTCTAATAAAACAGGAATCATTTAGTAGAAAGAATGAATCTCCAGGCTGCTTTGGATAAAATAATTTGCAAATCTGAGCTGCACCTTTCGAACTCCCACATATGTAATCATGACACTCAAGGTCGCGCAAATTCAAACGGTGATAGAAGAGAACTAAGAACACAGATGTAGGAGATAAAGTTCGAAAAAAAAACATACATTTCATCCAAAGCCATAGTCATGCCCAAACCGGATCGAATATCCAAGAGATTTCAGGATCTAGTTGAAGCCGAGATACACTTTATCCGAGAGGCCCATAAATCCGATGACTCAGTTCTTGACTTGCGCAAGTGCTTTGATGTGGACAAGGGAGGGGATGGAAGAGATTGGTGAACCCAAGGAACATGAAGTCGGAGAACCAAATAC